GTCCTGGTAAAAATGGATCTGTGTCCCACAGTACCCCGAACAACAGTTTTTTATTATTTCAAGGCAGAAATCTATGCTACCCCCACCCCAAATTTTTTACTTTTTTTCACATCCACTCATCCCTTTGTATGTATTTCCTGACCCTTCTCATAATCTCCCTTTAAACCTTGTGTGTCTCTTAAACCCTTTCACTTTCTTATGGGCCTCTATACACTCATTAAATCAAAGAAAAAGGGTGCACCTTTTATTTAAAATAGTAAAAGATAGTAAAAATATATATATAATATATACAAGTAAATAATAAAATAAAGTCCGAATAACTTAAAATAGTCCAATGGAGTATAATCCACAGTAATGGAGGAAGTTCTTGTAGAACAGCAAAGAGGTTGAAATGTCCTGGGTAAAAGCTTGTAATTCAATGGAGCATGTGGAGAAAACAGAAGAAAAGGGAACTCCAATGGTACAGTATGTAGGTAAACTTGAATATAAAATAATAATAGTAAGGTACTACTCACAATCTTCAGAGCTTAAATCCAGCTCTGGTATGAAATGCGTGAAGTGGATTGATCCCCACTCAAGGATATATGGAGTGTTGCCGGTTAGTGGAGTGTAGTTTTCCAGCAGCAGTGTGATCCGGCCCAGAAATAAAACGAATAAAATATAGTGCACACTGTATCTTTAATACGAAATAATAAAAAGTATGAAATGTACTCACAATGTATTGTGCAGGCTCACTGCTCGATGTGTAGTGTATGGGTGGTATAATCCCCACCTAAGGATTCTTAAAGGACCACTATAGTGCCAGGAAAACATACTCGTTTTCCTGGCACTATAGTGCCCTGAGGGTGCCCCCACCCTCAGGGACCCCCTCCCGCCCGGCTCTGTAAAGGGGAAAGGGGTAAAAACTTACCTTTTTCCAGCGCTGGGCGGGGAGCTCTCTGCCTCCGATCCTCCTCTTCTCCTCCCCGTCGGCTGAATGCGCATTCAGCCGGTCACATAGGAAAGCATTCATAATGCTTTCCTATGGACGCTGGCATACTCTCACTGTGAAAAGGCTTAACCCATTCATAAACATAGCAGTTTCTCTGAAACTGCTATGTTTATGAAAAAATGGGTTAACCCTAGCTGGACCTGGCACCCAGACCACTTCATTAAGCTGAAGTGGTCTGGGTGCCTAGAGTGGTCCTTTAATGCTTCTTTCTTAGGAGAGATAATAAAATTAATAAAATTATCAAAAAATATTGGCCTATTTTGAAGGAAGATCCTGTATTAAATAAAATTCTACCTCACAATCCTAAAATGGTCTGTCTACTAAACAGATTTTAGTGAAAAGTAGTTTTAAAACACAACCTACAGAACATTTTCTAAATAAAAATAAAGGATTTTATGGATGTGGATCCTGCCTTGCTTGTAGAGAAACAAACAATACTAAAAGACATATTACCTCCTTCACATATAAAGATAAAAGAGAATTTGCTATTAAAGACCAGCTCACTTGTTTTTCAAAAAATTTTATTTATATTTTAAAGTGTCCTTGTGACTTAATTTATGTTGGTAGGACTATTAGGTGTCTACATGTCAGAATTGCAGAACATGTACGCAATATTAAAAAAGGCCTAGAAACACATAGTGTTTCACAACACTACAAAATGTATCACAATAGTAATCCAAGAGACCTATTCTTTTGCACAATTAAACTAGTACAAAAAAATTGGAGGGGTGGATATTTTAATAAAAAAATAGGTGAGGAGGAGATGAGATGTATTTATAATTTCAATACACTTATCCCTAACAGTCTGAACCAAGATTTTAAATTATGCCATTTTTTATGTTAATTCTTAGTATTGTTATATGAGTCATTGCTTTCATTTTTATGCATATATGTATATATATATTAGAATTATATTTTATGTGTATACCTTTAACAAGATATCATTGGTAGAAGTGATCTTTATTGGTATCAAATCCTTTCTCATGTACCCTCTATAGGAGTGGAGATATACATTTTATAGGAGTACTCTATAGGAGTGGTGATATACATTTTATGTGTAGTTTTTTAATAAGATACAATTGGTAGAATTGATTTTTACTGCTAACTATCCTTTTCTCATGTATTCTCTATAGGAGAGGTGATATATATGTTTTTTTAATCACCACTCTTATCCTCTCTTCTGTTTATTTTATTGTCTTGTTTTTCTGTTTTTAATCTAGTGAAGACTTCACTTATATGTGATTATATCTGTCTATCTATATATATTTTTGTCCGTTATGCCTTTGCTTCAAGTTCCCGTTGCGTTCCACAGCCGTCATATCCGTTTGCATTTAGTGTAGGAGGCGGATGTGGATGCTCAATGGAACGCATGTGCGTTCCACAAACGAAGCACCCGATCACATAATCGGTAAAACAGGAATCTGATGACGAACACATCAAGATGAACAGGAAGGCAATTGCTTACACTAGATGGAACGCAGGATGCGTTGCACAGAGAAAAATACCGCAAATCTGTAGCAAATGGACGGATATAAAAGAATCACAGGGACTTTGATGCACAGCATACACCAACTGAGGAAGCCTATTGGGCGAAACGCGTTTTGGTGACTATTGGACTTTTAATTATGCTTTTGTTTTTTATCTGACCTGTTTTTGGAATAAATTATATACTTTTATAGAAATTTAAAGTATTTATTATTCCTGGAAATACAACTTGAATATCTTCCCTATCACCTGGAGTGGGGTTTGGATCTCCCCTTAATGATCCTACTGGCATCCAGACCAGAGCCAGATTATTTTATGGCTCTACGTTTGTGAGTGTGCAATTTAAAGATATTGGAATTACACTGTATTTAAAAAAATTATCTGCACTATTGTGTTCTCCTCTCTTTCTGTTTCAGCTTTGTTGGCTGTATTTTGAAGAGAGGGAAGTATTTACAGCTCGACCTATTTTTGTGTATAGTATTTCTTAGGAGATGAGCTACAATAAAAGTCTAAGCAAGCAATACCTCACCAAACAGGTACCTGTTTCTCCATTAATTTGTCCCTGGAATAAATTTGTCTTCTTTTCTTTTTTTATTATTCTTTTTATAAGGCGCTATACATACAGTATACATTTCAATTCATTTAAATAAGATTATGTCTATACGATAGTACCAACAGGCATATATACACATATTACCTAACATACATATATACAGAAATTTACCCAACAACATATAACGCATTAAAAGTGTCGAACGGTTTGGATCGGCAGGTTCTGATGGTTGATATTTTTTAATCTTTCTAAATAGTGTAAATTTCTTGTACAGGGGACTCCAATTATATTAATGTATTAATCAGGTCCTTCATCTCTACGTTGTTTTCTTCATTAAGTTAAATAATCATTAATTACCAGTTCCATTCGTAATTGAAACAATAATTGATTTATTATGTTTTTCCATACTGGAACTGTTTTAGTTTTCCAGTTTCTGGCTATTGGAATTTTAAAAGCTATAAAACAATGTATAATGAAATTTATTTCCATTAAAAAAAAAGGCCGTCTCAGATGTAAATAAAGCCACCTCCAGAATAAACATGAATCTATATTCTATCATTTTATGTATGAAACCAAATATTTTTTTCCATTGAGCCATTATTTCAGTACAGCCCCACAAAATATGTATATATGAAACTCTACTTTTTTCACACCTCCAACAAACATCAGTTGTCAAAGTAAACATTCTAGCTACCCTTGAAGGTACCAGATACCACTTGTTAATACGTTTATATTGAGTCTCCTGCAAATTTATACAGTGAATAGCTTTCCTCATATACATTAGTGATTTATACCATTCTCGATATGTAATTTGAATATTTAATTTGTTTTACCATTTTACCAAAGCATTAATTTGATTGTCATTTCTATTCATTTTGACCATACTTAATGCTTTGGAAATAAACTTTATTATGATTAAAAATATTACTTAAAGTCTCATTCGTTCCTAATTTACTGAACCTTAGATGTTGCATCAGGGTATATTTTACTCTTAAATAATTAAAGAGCTCAGATGGACGAAGGTTAAATTCTGTTGTTAGATCCGAGTATGACTTTATTCTAGTATTTTCTATTAGTTGGTCTATAGTTGTAATATTGCATCTTTTCCAACTTGTTAATACTAAATTTTCCAAGTTGGCCTCCAGTACCTCTATTGGCATAAAACTAAAAATCTTTCCCTTAACATCTAGAATTTTTTTAACAGAATCCCACATCTCATTTAAATGTTTTAGAATGTATCTTTGAATATTTGGTAGAGGTTTACAATGACAGTTCCATATTATTTGAGTTACACTGAATTTGTTTATTCTGTTTGTTTCCAACCCATACCAACTTTTTTGAATTCTGTTTCCAAATGAACGTTTTATATATATGAGTAGCTATCCTTACAATGTAGTTATACCTAATATTAGGAACATTTAGTCCACCTTTCTCTTTTTTTTATTATTATTTTTTTTTCACATAATGAGAGATTTAATCTTGGGTGTTTCCCCTTCCAAATAAATATATTAAAACTCATTTGTATAATCTTCAGCCAACTCTCTGGGATCTTAAGGGGTAACATTTGAAATAAGTAAAGCCATTTCGGCTTAAATATGCATTAATTATATTGTCTCTACCTATCCACGATACTTCCACGTTTTTCCATTCTTTCAAAGTATGATTTGTAGTTTTTAATAATTCCATAAAATTGATTTCCATACAAGTTTGAATATGTTTAGTTATTTTAACTCCTAAGTTATTTATTGCTTTTTTTTGGACCATACAAAGCCATATTTATTTCTAATTGTATTTTTTTATATCTATTGTTAAATTACAGCCCATAATAATTGATTTCTCTATATTGATCTTATAATTAGAGGCTTTGGCATATTCAGTGAACTTTACCATTAGATGTTCCAATAAAATAGTTGGATCTGTTAGCGTAATCAATGTTTCATCTGTGTATAAGTTTATCTTTGATTCTATTGATTGGAATACAACTCCTTTGATATTTTTGTTTTCCCTAATCCTACATGCAAATGGTTCTAAGGAAATTGTATAGAGTAATGGGGAAAGTGGACACCCCTGCCGCATTCATTTCAGTAGTGGAAACCATTCAGAACAGATATTTTGTCCTACAACTCTGGCTGATGGTGATTTATAAAGGGCCATTATAGCCTTATGCATTCAACCATCTATACCCACTATTTTTAATATCATATTTAGGTATTCCCAGCCGACCCTGTCAAAGGCCTTTCCTACATCCACCGACAGGGTCAGCATGGGAAGACGATCTCTATTTACTAGATCCAAAATATTCAAAATCTTTCTTGTCCCAGCATGTCATTTTAAACAATATCTGCCAATAGGTACGTTTCAGTGTGGACATTACAGTGCGTGTCCCTACATTTATAGAGAGCCCAAATCTTTCTCAAATAGTAGGATTACAGGCATTTAGACCACGTTCCTTTTTCCGCAGGAGTAGTTTATAGGGTTCTCGTATTCCCCCTTTTATATAAACCCCTTAGTTGACTTACAATTAGATTACTTAATTTAGCCTTGTAAATTTGTACATATTTATTATTTATTATTGTTATGTATAGAATCTCTAATTGGCACCGACTTATTGTTTATATCTACATACTATCTATATATACTAAGTGCATCTGTATCATACTGATACTACACCAGTGTGATATCGTTCTTATACAGTTGGGACATTCCTCAACTGAGTTAGTAACTAGTACCGTATGCACTCGTTCTATACCAATATTGGGATCAGCATGATATGCAGATGAGGCTAAGTGCATTACATTTTTAAGTTGTAGGCGTAAACCAGCTTAGCTATTATCAACCACGATTTAGGGAGTTACATTCCACTAAGATCACTTTGTTATTTATACCACACACAGAAAACATGGTTATTCTGCCCCTGACGACGGCGTAGTTAGACGCCGAAACGTGCGTCAAGCTTTCTCTCACTTTTCACTTTTTCACATGTATGGTGCACTTTTTGGTGCATGTAGGCACTAGCCTTGTGCAGTGTCGAGGTGGTAAATAGGGACATGTTGAGCCACTGACCTGTAACATCCTCTTAGCGGACTCTCATGAGCTGGGATTTCTTGTTAATTGGTTTGGGTTTTACTGGTTTCCCATGTCCTCGATCCTCTAGGTATATAGGGTTAGGGGTAGGTAGAGTCCTGCCATAGGACCTCTGTCTTATTTTTTGGAGACGCTATTCCAGGCAGGGTGCTTTTTCCCGTGTGCATCCTTAGGAGTTATACTCGTTTCCATTGGTTAGTAACAATTTGACATACCCTACCCCTCTCTTTCTATTTATCTACCTGCCAGCCCTTTAAGACTACTGTCTATTTAGTATACAGTTACACTTGGTGCTTTGTCTTATATTACGTTCTCTCTCTTATAGCTATTAGTGAACACTCAATAAATAGTTTTGTGGTACCATTGTGGCTATTAGTGTTTTAGTCTGAGTTTTTCTCCTATTGGCCACCTTGTATTTAGTTGCCAATGGAATTTATCTTTTAAATTTTTGTGTCCATTTTTTGGGTTAGAAGGAAAGAAAGAAAAAACGTCTACAGGTGATGGCTGTCTATAAATAGACTGATCCACTCAGCCTGTAGAAGTAACACCTTATAAGACACTCCAGTAGTGTCTTGGGGCATAACCCCTAATCAAAAGTACTATAAGATTCTCAAAATGAGTATCCACTGGAATAATAAATAAAGATAAATACTGTAGAAAATAATAAATAAAGCTATATACCATGAGGAAATACAATTGAAAAAGATACTAGTAGATGGGTCAGACAGAAAAAGACATAAGTGCCAAATGGCGAACCTCCCTTCCTAATGACTCTAAAAATAGATACTGTAGTTCACAGGTTTAGACTTTAATATAATCCTTAAATGGGTCAATATCTGTGACTGCAGATTAATATCAATAGGAGTAACAATAAAAATAAGAGACATAAAGGGACTTGCTTATACCTAGTGGAACTCAAAATAGAATAAATGTACTATTGTATACCACTATTTATTCATAATTACGGAATATAGATCCCCTTGGTGGGAGAATTCCTCAACTAGCAGGAAAAGTAGTGATAAAAATTATGTCACATTACTGCATATTTAGACACTGGATACTAAGTAATTCGAAAAGACAATATAAAGATAGTTAAACACTGTACATAGGATATCCACAGAATAATCCAATGGATATAATGTATCAGGAATATATCTGTAATAGTATCTGCCACATATGAAATGGATACAAAATAATTCAATGGACAGAATGTATCCAAAGTGTGTCTATATCGATATATGCCACATATTTAAAGGTATAAAGCAAAAAGAGAGCTAAAAGCCCCTGACAAAAGTGCATCATAAGCGCACCGAAACGCGCGTCGGGTTTATTTGGGGGGGTTTCTTTTCCCCTCACTTTCTCACTTCTAGGGCACTCTGTCACAATGTGCAGGGAACCAACATTCTAAGTATGGTTCTGCACATTTAGCATGTCTTTTCACTTTACCTCTCTTTTTGCTTTATACCTTTAAATATGTGGCATATATCGCTATAGACACACTTTGGATACATTCTGTCCAT